GGATGGTTAATGATTGCGGTGGTATACAATTATTGTGAGCATAGCGCTGAAATTGTGCCTATTTACATATTACCTGTATTGGTTTCAATTTTATCACTCTGCTTAATTAATGGGTTTCAGAATTTACAATTTCGAAGGATTAATCCGATGCATTATTTAAATACTTGTCTATCACATTTATAAGCATTTTGCACCTGTTTATTTTCTGAGCTAAGGTGAACTCAGGACTCGAACTCTTCTTTTTCAATGTAGACATCCGGTATACCTCCTTGCGATATGCCACATGGCGTGGTTACAGTTCCTTACAATTTCATTGTAGGAGTCTTGGTGATTTAAAGGTGGTCAGAGTAGATGTTCGGATTGATACCTCCAACTCAACGTTGAGACAGAAAATGAAATTCCTCCCATATCACCTCGACGGCCGTTGTTCCACAACTGAGCGTTTTTTAAGGCATTTTTTCCCAGTCACCGATATGTGCAACCAGCCTTGCTATTCTGTAAATCATTTAATAAACTAAAGTGTTCTCACAGCGGGTTCCGCTCTGAAATCACTCGTGAAGGAGTCTTTTTACGATTTGGCATTTTGGCACCTAATTGGAATTAAAATTGCAAAAAGGATAAACTTAAGTGTAGTACCTTAATGTAGGTCTAAATAAAACCTATATGGGATACTTTTGTATTTCTAAGTAAAATACCTTAAAAAACATATTCAATAGATAATAAAATTAATAAGCCAAATATAATAAATTATTTTAAGTTTTATGATAACAACTAAAATTATCGTGATTCATGTGCACTTTTTCTTTTTTATATTGTGTCCTTTTTTTAGTTTTTCTTTTGTTCCTATTTTAGTTTTGTCTTAATTACTACTTATATTTGTTATCTATTTTTGCACTTCTTGCTTACTTTATCTAATTTAATTTCTTTTCACAGTGGTTGCCTGGAAGAGATTGCTGGAAAGCGATAAGGCCGCCAGTTGCCCTCCTTTTCATTTAATTGTGTCAATTAATTAACCAATATTTCTAAGACCCAGAAACCCAAGTACAAAACAATTATAAATGAAAGAAATCTTTATTTTTTTTTCTGTGGCAAAGACCCATATAGGGTATGCTAAACTGAAGTCAGCATGCTATAACTATCTAAATATTGATTGCTTCTGAATTTATAAAATAAGTTATGGCAATGTAACTTTCAACGTACAAAATTTTATATTTCAATAATGACAAATCAATGTTCATCACTTTAAATGTAGGTTATTGAGCAATTGTAAGCTTATCTTTGATCCAACATAACTATTATGATTAGTTATCTATTGTATTCTGAAAAATTACATTAAATTTTAGTTAACATACTATTTCATTATTCTTTACATCGTTATTTGATTTAATCTATTACAAATACACAAATAACTTCTTTTTTCTATGATAGTTGATATATTTCTAAAATAATTTTAATAGATATTGTATTCAGTTTTTATGAATATTGTATTTAGTTTTTATGTTTAACATAGATTAGATATTATTGTTGTGTGTTTGATCTCTTAAACAGTTGGCAATTGTAGTTTCATTCCGTCTAAACAGTACCACCACCAGTTTGTATTCTTTATAGATCCCTATGTAATTACTCTAAAAAAATATTTTATGAAAACCTCACCTTTTTGGTACTCGCCTTTAGTAACATTTTCAAAAATTTAAGATATCTATCTATCCTGGTAAGTTTATAATCCTTAGACTTTTCGCAGAAAGAATCCGTTTTAGCTGGCACTGATAATATTTTTGCTAAGCTAGGATATTCTAAAAATTGTATTCCAGATGAAAATGTTAAGCCGGGTCCACATTTGTAGCATGTTGACGTATCACGATCAGTCGTATCGTGTCTAGTATTTGTATCATAAATATGGACGCTCATTTTGTCCATGTCGTATTTTTAAGGCGTATCTTGTAAAAAACGCGTCCATACTTATCAAATGCTGTATCATGTCAGTGTATCGGCTTTAACTTTACAAATATAGACGCTTCACTTTTCTTCCGATGTATCTTTTCCTGATGCGCGTGTCTTTCAGTGTACCTTTCCCTTCTCGTACGGTTCAGTCGTATTGTCTTCGTTCCCAAACGGTTTAGCCATGTCAGCAATTGCTCACACTTTGGCGGTGACTAGCGCCTGTTATATTATCATTAATAGTATTTTAAAAAAAGTTAAATCCAGACATAGACGGCGCTGATGGGACCTTGAAGTGTTTAGAAACCGAAACAAACATGGTAGAATACCATTTCGAGAGCGAGATTTTTTAGCTCATTTTGCGAGTTTTAAAATTTCAGCATACCAGTGGAATATACAAAAATTTCACTCGCATGTCACCCATTGATGTTGTGTATTCCCATTTGATGATCGCGAAAAACCGACACAGGATCGGTTCGCGGTGTATCAAGTATCGTATCGCGATACAGTATCGTGATACAGTATCAAAATACGTCCATACCACCGATCGTTTTTAGCGAATACGCAGTATCTGATACGAGGTGTATAAAGATACGCGCTTAGTGCGGATCGGGCCGTATCAGATACGGCATGTATCATTAACGGGTATCATTTTGGGTCCAAACTAACGATCATGATACGCGCCGAAGCCACGCAACGGAGATACGATACACCGAAATGCTACAAATGTGGACCCAGCTTTAGGTATCTCTTGTTTCGTGCTGAAACATATTTTATATTTTTAAGTTTACAATCATTTCACACACACTACTTGGCAGTACGGGTTATGTTAAATATAAACTCTTAATTGGAAGTTACAACAAATTAATATTACAACAATTTATATACTATTATTTATACCTTTTCTTTAGATTTTATTTATTTTTAATTTTAGTTATAGTTGAATGTTATTTTTAGTATCTTTTTGTTATTTAATTATGCTTTCTTTGTTATTATAATTTGTTTTCTAATTATTGTACTTTACCCTCTGTAGGTGTTTCTTTTTTTTCTATTGATCCATTTTAGGGGTGCCTTGAAGAAATCGCTTGTTAGCGTTAATGCCGCCCGTTGCCTAATAACTTAACTACAAAATGTAACCTGCTTACTTTTTGGTTTATTTCTATATGTATAATTATGTATATATAATGGCAATGAAGTGTAAATAAATAAATAATTTACTTCAAGCTAAGCCGGGTAAACTAGTTTTAACTTCTATTGGATTTATCTTCTAAATTTAGGTTATATTATAACGTCAGTTTGAGAAGGGTAAAAGATAAGACCTTCAGGTAGCGATAACCACAAAGGTTATTAAGTCACTCTAGTTTGGATTAACGCTTAATTCTAGTCATTTATTTAAAGGCTTTAGGCTAGTCTTCAAATATACATCTAGTAAAGTGATGTGAAATTATGCCTCTTTATGATCACACTATAATAAATTATGATAAATATATAATTTATTTATATCTTCTACAACAATGTGTAGGGTACCTATGCCTAAAAAATGCAAGAAAATATGACATCTCAAATTTAACACACATCAATTACATTAGAACATAAGCAATCTATCAAAGGAAAAAAATTCAAAAACCACCACAAAATAAAAATAAAATAAAACTAAATGAAAACTTAAACCTCATTAAAAGCATGATAAACAAAGTTACGGTCATTTAGCAATTTGAAAAACACATCATGAAAAGACAAAGTTATATATTTATTTGACGCAGACATATTTGTTTATGTAATATAGAGTATGTCTGCCTAACACAAGGGCCAGGGATTTGGATCTTACATGCCGTCGTCATAAAAAAATTACTGTTGCTGCAAACACAAATCCATTTTTGCCCAAACAGAGCTCGATTATAATTAAATCTGATTTCTTATCATTTATCAATTAGTGCTTAATTAAGTTTCATTTGTAATAATTGAATGTGTCTCCGATACATCCTTATTTAAAGATTCATAATAACTTCCGCGTTATTTAATCTAGGCGACCAGGATATAAAGAATCGTGGCTCCATGAAAATGATTAGGTAACACTTTAATCATAATTATTTATTCTACTTAGATATCACAAATCAATTCTACATACTCAATTATTCTAAAAAAGTACAACTTAAAAACTAATTTTAGTACGAACATAAATATTAAAATACCATCATGATGTCAGATAGATATCGGAGTATATGACATTTTAAACTATCTTAATTTTTTGACTGTTTGAATTTAACCCATTACAATTAATTATAATGGGTACAATCCAGGGTAAACGGCGTGTTGGTAGAAGGAAGAAATGATGGCTTCGCAACGTTGGATGGGTATTGCAATTGGGTAGGAATTGCTGCATCTGGCACAGGACAAGACACGCTTCAAGATACTGACGGCCAACCTCCAGTAATGGAAAGGCACTAAAAGAAGAAGAGGACTGATGAGATTTCGGAGACTGATTGATGGATGATTCTGAGGTGATATCTTGACTATTGCAACTTGAAATGCGCAGAGGCGATGAGAACTTGGAGAAACTGATTGTGGATGGTAACACTGAAGGCAAAAGATCACGGGGCCGTTCACTAACCAGATAGACTGATCAAGTGAAAGACTCATCGTCCACAACTGTACAAATAAGAGAAGCGGTGGAAAGAAACCGGTGGAAACAAAGAGACCGCACTAGATGCTTCCTTGCTGACCACGTCGCTCGGACATGAGATTGAAGAGAGAGATATATTGTAAGTTATGCATCTTTAATAGGTCTCTTACTGACGTACAAAGAGTTCAGATTTGACCTATAGAGTTTCACTTGAACGGCTTTGTTAATTTGGAACAATTTTGTGTATAATGATACAAAAATGATTAATTCAAGACTACGTTTTTAGTCAAAGAGCTATTGATGATTTTATGTTGATGTTTTAAAACCACCTTTGCCAATCGGGCACTTAAAACTCCCCATGGGATCTTTCCAGTATCTTTCGATATCTGGGCCTGGAGACGGGTTTAGATACACTCCGATCTCCTCCTATTATCTCAAGATGACCCAACGAAGCCTTTGGGATTTAGCTTCACCAGTTATGTTGGGTTCGTATCAGGTCCCCGATCTCCTTGTTCTTCCATACATAAAAAAGCTATTCCAGAAAAAGCTCTTTCATATAAATATTCAATTTAATATATCGCCCTTATACATAATAAACTAATATAACATATATAAACTGGCAAATATTTAATATTCCCAAAAAATACGGACTAATTTAATTTTCCTGTCACGAAGAATGTTCCAGCAGACCGTAAGAATTGCTAGCATTTTTAGGTTAGAACGAAAAAACAACGTTTAAACATACATCGTCTCTTAGACTAACTAATGAGTATTTTGGGTGTTTATAAATATTTAATTATTACGTGTGGAAGTCTATTAAAGTATATTACTTGCTGTTAATTAATGTCCTTTTAATTACTACAGTACAGGGAACCAAAATGAATTACATACTTTTGCCTTTAATGTAAATATTTTAGTACTCTAACAATAGTAATTTAATGATATATTAAGAGAATATGTTAATAAATAATTCGAATTACTTAACAGATTAAAGAGCAGAGTTCGTATAAGGCTTTCATGCTATAAAATAGTTCTAAAAGCTGGTTGTCATCGGCAAGGTGGGAAGCAAAAGGCCGCGTGGCCAACCTGCTTTTGTGACCAAGACCAAGATTCCCACGGGTCTCCCAGCTGCGCTCTCAGCTGATCTCAAAACAGCTGCGCTTAGGGAAGCTATAGACAGAAAAAAGTGGACAGATATCACTAGCAGGGCAACTGCCAACTGGCACCTTACAGTAACGCGACTTACAGCAATGAATAATACGACTGAGAAGAGAGCAGAATAAAACGCAATTATTTATAGCAAAAAAATATTGTTTACTTTAAAGCGTTGATTTTGAGCGCATTAAACCAAAGACAAAATTAAGTTGATTTTTGATAACTTTTTTTAAAATTATTATGATACAATTTTTCAATTACCCTCATACATACCACCTCAAGACAGACGATTTTTGCATGTTAGAGCAGGGCAATTAAGTCTTCCTTATGACCGCCAGCAAACCGTTGCCGCACGCGCTCATCAAAGTTACGGATCTTTTACAAAGCGTAAAATATAAATTTTGATCGAAAAATGCAACCGATTCAAAAATACATAAAATTATTAAATAACAATATTATTTTTTTGTCTATATTACGTTAATTAATTAATTTTTGTATAAACTAGATATGAGCATTTCTTTTTTATTGTTCCATATTAGGGTTGCCTGGAAGAAATCGCTTGTTAGCGATAAGGTTGTCTTATAACTTATGTAACCTGCGTTTTTTATAAATACATAAATATGAGCTCTCAAACCGGTTAAACTGCCACATGAACTTAAAAGCGTTATTGCTTAGTTTTCTTGCTTCTTTACAAAATAATTTTACATGTTAAAATTCCCACAGAATAATATAAAATTTTATTACCATAATGTTACTTTTGCTTAACACCGGTGACACTTCCATTATTCGAAGAATAATTCATAAGGTTTTAATATTTATTACTTTTCACTTTTCCTTATTCCAGATATTTTTTCGATACTCAAATACGACATGTGAATAAAATTATTTGTACGCACCACGAGGATCGCAAGATCTTTTTCATACAAATTTAATCAGGAGACGCCTACGCAAAATATCTTGTCTAGGCGAGCGGAGAATAAATGTATATAAAATTAGTATATATATATATATACTTCATGAGGCTATACGAGTAACAAAACAATATGAAAATTATCCTTTAGTGTTTTAAAGAACTTTAAAACGTATGAATATAAAGTAATGATACATCATTACTAAATCATTACTACTAAATCATCATTACTAAATCATTAGTATGAATATAAAGTAATGATACATCATTACTTTATATTCATACTTCTTGACAAAATAGAAAACAATAATCATAAAACACAGAAATAAATTTAAAGGCCGATTGCTACTGTTAGACAGATGGCTTCTAAGCTATAACTTTCAGGCAACCCGTGCTAGAAGTGAACTGACTGGAACATAGGGACAATTAAACTTACAATGATCATAAAATTATATAAAATCACGTAAAAATATTTTTTTTATTGTTAAAAGCTTGCCAACGCTCGGCACACTCATACATTGGTAAAATAACCACAATATACAATTTTAATGAGACAAGAACTATTAGGCAAAATATGACATACACGAAGAGATAATTCAAGTATCAAAATAGAAATGTTTATAGTTGTAAAGGAAAAAATATAAACTTAATTCTTATATCTATATACATTATCTTACTGTAGACAAATGCTTTAGATTGAATTCATTATAAAAAAACTGCGTTATTATAAATACAGATTATAGTCAAACAATTCACGCCAGTATATCGTATGACGTGTCTCGACTTAATAATAGTTCTCTATTACCATTCTAAATAGTTTGAATACCGGTAAAGCTTTGAGTAATGATACAGAGTAATTAGTACTTATTCAGAAGTGGAATCAGATTATATTAGAGACCACGCTTAATACCGCTGTCTAATAAATATTTATTGACCCCTATCAAAAAGTCAAAAATTATTTATTCATGTAGGTAACACAATGTACACTTATGAACGTCAAAAAAGAAATAAACGTTAAATTCTTCTAATTTTACATTTACTGCCAGTTTTCAAATCAAGGACGTAGAACGGCAGAAAAGAGCTGGCAATAAACTCTCCGCCACTCTTTTTAATCGCCAAGTTTTTTGTTTTACACAACGTTTGTTAGGAGCTGCAACCATTACACTATGTTCCACATGACATCTTAAATAATAAATAGTAATAAAATAAATTAAAAACAAAGATTTGTCCTCTATCAGCAGGAGGCATGGTGAAATAGGAGCACGCACTTACATTCTCGTAGGATGTAATTCTAAGTCTAATAAGAGCACGTGTTGTTGTGGAATGATACTGCACTTTTGCAATTTAATTTCGTTAATTAGAGATTACCAGCTGAAAGATTAGAGAACATCACAATATAGTATGGGTATTTGATCCCGTAGATTCCTTATGGGGAATATGGCAGAGATTTTCACGTCGCGTTGCGCGATAAGTTTCTTTGGTTAGCGTTTCTATCAAGGTTGTTTCTTTTTGGGGTATGGCAAATGTCATCATAATGTTGTGCGCAATTAACAGTGTTTACGATAAAGGAAAATTAGTGTTTCTTTAGACAACTCACAAAGCTTTCTGTGTCAATCTTTGTAAAATGAAACCGATAACAAGATAGCGTCACTTGTTACTATATGTTGACGAAAACTCACGATAATCTATTATAATTTGATATCCACCTCTGGCTATTACTGTATTCCAAATAGTGTATTTCAAAACAGAACAATTGCTACACAAGCAGTGCAGTTTCCACTAACGTACAAATCTTTTAATAAAAACGCAGCGCAAACACCATCGATCTTACGCGACGGTGTGACAGGCGCCCGCTAAGTAGGAAATGAAACTCCGGATTAGAAACTTTGTATATAGTTCGTTCTAACACAAACTTTAATATTCAATATTAGTTGCTTTGATATTATCTGTTTGTTCGAACTTGTTTCGAATCTTCCTATACACAGTCTGAGTTGTACACGATTTTACCTAGAATGTTTCAGAGTTTTTAAAGTTTTACTATGATTATTATGGGACGGGATGCAAACGAACAGGCACTTTGAATAATGTGCTAGCCGCTTATAGAAACCTGCAACGCCTGAGAACTGTTGCCGGCCTTTAAGGGTACGCTAGTTTCTTGCCCCTAAGTCGTATTGGTTCGGTAATATCTCTTTTGGCGAGGGATGCGCGACATAAAAAGATTCGCATTCTGCCTCGACGTTCGATGATACTATTCAGCCGCAACAGTGTATACATAAACGTAAAAAGATATAATTAACGTAAAGAGATAACGCAGCTTTATCCGCAGGGCGCAGGTCATCTCGCCGTCGTCGGCGGGCCTGGACCGCATGAACCAAGAGTGAGACAACGATTGGGACGAGTTGAGCCTGACGCTCCTCGCCTCCACCACTCCAAGGGCTATACCACCAGGCAGGGGCTTTCCACTCTGCTCGAACTGGCCGATGACGCCCCGGAAAAGGAGCGGATAAACATGCGCAAAGAATTTAAGTTGTAGATTAATCGTAGTATCCGGTCAAGCTATGTTCGCCAAAACAGACCGAGCTGCCTTGGGATTCTGTAACTCACACTGCGGTATTCACAGCCATTTTACGATTTGGCATTCTGATAAACAATAAACTACAAGCTCCCTCCTTATCAGAATGCCAAATCGTAAAATGACTGCTTCACGACTGATTTGAGAGCGACCGCCGATGCGAAAACCGCTGTGTGAGTTCGTAAAGTGAGTTATAGATTCGCAAGGCAGAGCTGTAAAAGCCCTTAAGACCAACAGTGAGATTTCATTCTAAACAAAATAGTAGTATCCAATGCACTGCTCATTGTAATATACTGTAGGTTTATTGCGTTCGGCTGACTGCTGCCATAAAGGTGGGAACTGACCAAAGTTACGAGGTGTAATGTAGCATTCGCATCGAGCGTGTTACGCATCGAGCATGTTACGCTGTGTTCTAAAATTCACGAGATGGCCAACAGCGAGGATGTGTTGATATCTTTCATTCTATTTAATTATTGTTTCATCCAAATTAAGAAGAAGAAGAAAAAATGTTACTGGACATCAAACTTATTTAAAAACACAGGCGTATAAGGTGGTTTGTTGTTGATTGCAATATTAAAAAACCGAATGATTACTGGACAGTATAAAACCTTTGTACGCATGTCTCGATTTTGAAGAACTGTTGAATTTAATTGGACCAAAAGTAATTAAAAAAGACACAATTTATATAAAATCATAATCATGATCACTCGCAACGTGCGACGCGTACTGACTGAACCGCGTAACAGTCAAAGGATTCGCTGAAAAACCGACCGCCGGGTGGAGCACTCAAAGCGAGCAACGAGCGGCTCGTTGCTCGTTGATTTCCCCGTAATACGACGTACTGACTGCACGAATGCTCGCTGTGTAACGTGTTACATTACACCTCGTAACTTTGGTCAGTTCCCACCTTTACGAGCCCTTTCCTCGTGTAGAGGTCCTAATAATTAAGGATTAAAAATCTTTTATATTATAAATTGAAATGAAATTTTTCAATCGCATATATTTAAACTGCAACGTATATATTATTAATAAAATGTTCTTGTACCAAGGATATAGTTAACGAAAGTTCGATTGTTTAAAGGAAAATCTGAAAAACATATTTTCTTTAATCTCATACGCACTAGAGCTTTGTCAACGCTCCACATAAACTTTTCCTAAATCTCATAACGACTCTACTAGTGTTTTAAGTTCCACAGTTGTTATAGCGTAAGAGCTAAGTTAAAATCTTTATTTTTTATATGATATTTGGTTAAAGTATTACATCCTTTTAACGTTTCTTGGAGTATTTAAATGCTTGAGATGCTTTAATAATAATAATCATTTATTTACTATATAAATATATATGGAATTAACTATTAAGTTTGTTATGAAAGAGCTGGGAACTCTGACACAAGTATTTTTTACTTAAAAGGGTTCCCAATTTTTACCCAATTGAATGCATTGTTATAATGAATAAACACAATATTATTTTTTATTTTGATTAAGGAATTTGAGTATTATACAAAGATCAATTCTGGTTAGTAAGTCAAACTTTTGTAGTACAATAAAAACTAAATCAGAAAAATAAGATGTGTCTATGATAACTGTCAGTAGTGACACAGTCTCACAGAGCCGACAAGCGCAGACAAATTTATTATAATCCGCCTGCTCTAAGGCCACGCCAGTTGTTGTGCTTGTCCAAGGGAAGTGAGACGGGACGGGACGTGTTCACGTAACTTTATATACCAAATGTTTAATAATTATGTCAAGTAATTTTAGTCACTATCTCTTAAGCTAAATTCGTCTATATTTCAAGCGGCAATCCCAGTACAGTAAGGTTTTTAATTTCCTGAAGCCCGCTTGATCCAGCCGGTTCAGTGTGCGCTAGTCCGTATTTACGTTGTCTAAGTGTCCTACAATCCTTATTCCGTTACTTTTCCAGTGTTCGTTTACTAATGGATTTCAATTAACGTTCAAAATTTCTGTTTCGTTTATAAACAAATTGTATGATAGTCGTATTATACTGTTCAATCGTAAAATATACAGACAATACGATAAAAAAATAACTACACCGATTTGGAATACATATATAATAAATAAAGGCGCTACAACCCTTTTAGGTCTGAGCCTCAGATTTATGTATCTGTTTCATGATCATTTGCCAATCTAATAGGCAAATAGGTGATCAGCCTTCTGTGCCTGACACACCGACGAATTTTTGGGTCGCCTCCCGAGGTTTTCTTTCACCGATCAAGCGAATGATAGATGCGCACATAGAAAGACAGATCGTTGGTGCACAGCTGGGTATCGAACCTACGACCTCAGGGATGAGAGTCGCACGCTGTAACCACTGGTCCAACGCTTCTAAAATATATATAAAGGCCTATAAATAAAAAAATATTAATAAGAAAGATACATAACGATGTGTGCCTCTTGCCCCATTAGAGTCCTAAGGGATGTTCTATAAAATTATTAGATTCGATTCTTTTTTTTTTTTTATAGAACGGGGGGCAAACGGGCAGGAGGCTCACCTGATGTTAAGTGATACCGCTGCCCATGGACACTCTCAATGCCAGAGGGCTCGCATTAACTTTATGCAAACCCCTTATATAAAACTTACGTAAATGCTAAATTATTAAATTTTTACATTTACAAAACGCTTGAGCGGTTTACCGTAGTCGTTCCCAGAGAGAAATAAACCGAGAAATTTACTTATATATGCTTTATTCCTTAAAAAAAATAGTTTTAATGTGTACAGCCTGTAAACGTCTACTGACAGTGAAGACAAAAGTTAGTTGACTTGACCAAATACATAATAAACGCATCTTTTACGACCTCCGCTCTTAAAAATATAAAATTATTCCTTTAAAAAATTCTAAAGAATTTTTGTTCAAATGTGTACTGGCCTACCGGCCTAGGAAACAAGAACCTGAAGGGTTCTCCAACTACATAATTAAAGCATCTTTTACGACCTCCGCTCTTAAGAAAATGAAAAATTATCCGCAAAGTTGTTTATTAAAAATTCTTATATTCCCTAAGTCCTGAAATATCGGCTTACAAAGGGAAACTTGGAAAAACTTTGGGAAAAATCTTAGAAGAGGGGTTACAAAGAACAAGTATAAAGAAATTTCTCACATAACCCGATAGCAAAGTTTGAGAATCGAGGACAGCAACGGCGCTTTATAAATCACTAAGGAATTTTGAGTGCCGATGTGTATTACTTTTTAAAATAACTTTTATCAAGGCTTTGTTTTTGAAATATTTTTAAATAAGGAACATAAAGATTTACAAGTAATTTATTTAAAAAAAAGTGAAACTTCTTTGGCAAACGAATTCTTTAGTCTTGTTGATAATTTTATACAAATCTAAAACTTTAGGTTAGAGGGAGGGAAAAGTAAGATTGTTAGGAATTTAATGAATTTAATTGTCATTAAAATATTAAGTGTCGAAAATCATACAAATAATATATATTTTTTTTAATTCTTCGATAATAAAAACACGTGGCATTTTAATTTACATTTCGTCATTTGAGATTTCAATAAATTATTTTGCATAAAATATATAATACTAATATTTCATAAATTCTCCTTACGAAATTTTAATTCGCCCTCCTCACTCTCTCTCAATCGGTCTCAATCGCTCTCTCCCTTTTCGCTGCACATCTTCGTGACGCAAATATTATTATTATTGCGTTTCATCCGTAAAAATTTTACCCTCATTCACCTAAAATTTTTTTCTTCAATTAATAAAATATTTCTCTAGAGACAATGCAGTCTAGAGTTCAGTAAAGAGTGAAATGTGACGTTTAAAAGAAAGAAAGGACGTGAATAGCAGCATCTTTCCTTTGCTGTGTTTTGTTTCCTTTTCTTAATGTCTGGTTAAGAAGAAAAGAGTTTATATTTATTTATTAATCAGTCTGTTGCCTCTCAAAACCAAGACTTAGAATTTTGAATAGCTACCACTAGTAGTAGCCCTACGCAGTGGTGTATAGAAGAAGAGAAGAGAAAGAAGCAGCACATATTTGGCCTTTCAACACGAGACTTTATTAATTTATTAGTTATAAAACAATATCCATGCTTACCAAAAAATATAAGAAAATATGATATTCCAAATTTAACTATAGCTTACGCTCTTCCGAAAACTATGTCCATAAAATTCCGTGTCATAACTCCTCCTTTCTTGGCGAGTCCTTTAAGGTATCTGCAGTTAAGCTATGGAATTCACTTCCAGTCCTATTCGTTTAGCACTTGCTCTATCTTCCTGTAAATTTCTTCTGTACAAACATTACCTGTCCACATTGTATCCCTAACTTTAATAATACCTACTAACTGAAGTGAGACTGATTTTAAATTAAATTATTATGATTCATGTGCACTTTTTATTATTATTATTTTTTTGTTTTCATGTATCCTTTATTAGTTTAGTTTGTTTTTTGTTCCTGTTTAGTTTCTTTTTCTTAACAACTTTATGTTATACATGTATTTTTGCACTTCTTGCCTACCTTATGTAATTTTTTTTCGTCTTTTCTCACAGTGGTTGCCTGGAAGAGATCACTCGAAAGCGATAAGGCCGCCAGTTGCCTTTCCTTTACATGTAATTATGTTAAATTTTGATATTATAATTCAACAAAGTGTAAATAAATAAATAACATAAAAGTTACATAAAAGCCACAAACAAAACACTTTATAATAGGAAACTCTATTTGTACAACAAGTAATTGTGCTGATTTTAAATAAATTCTCAAAATTAGTTCACCTGCCCTGCGATTCTGTAACTCACTTTTCGAACTCACACAGCGGTTTTCGCAAATCATAAAATGACTGCTTAACGACTGATTTGAGAGCGACCACCGATGCGAATACCGCTGTGTGAGTTCGAAAAGTGAGTTACAGAATCGCAGGGCTGACCCTCTATTTTAAGTGACGGTTCTTCAGTTAGACCGATGGTGTATGTAAGGTTAGTCCAGGTTAGGCGTTCTAAAT